AATCAGATTGTAGATTAATTCTAAAATTCAATAGTCATTATTTCTGTTTGAAGTGAAAAGTTCTAACTCACTTATTAAGTACAGATTTATATAATGTAGTTGAAGGTATAAATAACATGAGGTCCAACAATAAGGTCTAGTTATTGGAACTGACCTAAATGAAGTAAGGCTTTTAACTTGAAACCTACTTACTTACCTACGCCTGTTACCCCTCGTGGAGGAGCATAGGCCACCAAACAGCACTCTCCATCCTACCCTGTCCTGGGCAATTATTTCCAGTTGTTTTCACTTGCCACTCATCCTTTTCATGTCTGCTTCCAATTCTAGGCTCAGTGTGTTCTTTGGCCTTTCTCTTTTCCGTTTCGCTTCAGGATTCAAGGTTAGGGCTTGCCTCATGATGCAGTTTCGCGATTTCCGTAATGTATATCCTGTCCACTTCCAACGTCTTTTTATAATTTCCTCTTCAGCTGGAAGCTAGTTTGTCCCATGCTAGGACGAAACAACCGTCCAGTGATTCCAAATTTTCAATGGTGGTCTAGCTTAGATCGACTCGTGAATTCGAATTTAAATCATTAAAGATAATTTCTATTAGATCAAAAATTGATTGGTGTTTATAATGTGTACAATTTTAAATTTGAAGCTAATCATGCAGAAGTATTGTTGGTTTTCTGTTTACTATATGAAATGAAAGTTACGCTTTCATTTCCCGTTTCAATCTTTCTGAAGTTTCGAAAGTGTTATATAAGCATAAAAATAAAGAAAAATCGTCTGTTACTGATTTTCAATGACTCTTAAATTAGACGAAATGATCCTTAAAGTATACAGGAAATCTTCATCTTTAAAACTACTTCGTCTAATATAATAATTTAACGGTACAATAATGCGAAAGAAACTAGAGTCATTACTAACTTATCTTACTTTGTGTGTGCGTATATATAGGCCTTCTTTCAACATAAACATAAAAACTTTATTGCTCTGCACTATCGATTGGTTTTAGCTAGACAATCGCTGAAAACCAAGAACTATTGTGGAGTCGTTTCGTCCTAGTGTAAGGCTTCTAAGTATTCTTCATTTAAACCTCATAATAGATCAAACCTATAACTTTTAGGTCTCATAGCAAACGCTTAGCATTTAGGGATCACTGAGTTGACATCCAATTGTTTATATTTGTAATTTTAATCACTTTGTGGTATAAATCTAAAAAAAACTCGACAAAACTTTACACATCCTCAATATTGAAAAAGAATTATTTGAAGTAGACAAAAACAACCCCATGATCAATGTACTTATGTTTAATCATAATAATCAAATAAGATTAATATGAAGGGGTTTATTGAGATTGTAAAGTTTTCAAAGTTTAAATCATGAACTGATTTTAGCTAGACATTCAGTGAAGACCTGGAACACTGGACAGCCATTCCCTCCTAGTATGGAACTTTTCAGTAGTACGCACCCCACCAATGATTGGGCACAGGACCTTCATGAATAGGTTAAAGTTAGACATATATATCACTGGATTTCGACTCAGTGGTCAAGACATTGAGAATTTGGATGTGAGACTGAAGTTCCTGGGCTCGACTGCTAGTGGAATCGTTGATGCTCAATGTTGGGAAGTCCGATGCCGGGGTAAAAAAAACATTTGTCTAGTGCTTTTTTGTTTCAACGTTGGTCCATTCAAGATCAGTTTGCTATTTAAAACTAAGAAAATTCCACAATATTCACAAACTCCATCATGCTAATAAAAAAATAATAATAATCAATTATGGATATGCAGGTGTCACTGATATATAGCCAATGTAAGATCAAAGGTTAATGAATAATAATAATAATAATAATAATAATAATAATAATAATAATAATAATAATTTACTTTCATATGGACAACGTCGAGGTCAATATTGCCGTTATTATTACCACTCAGTTACCATATAATATTGGATAGAGCCATAATAATAATAACAATAACAATATTAACGTTAATAGTAACAATACAAATTATTTTTGTTATTGTCTTATTTGAATGATATTAGGTTGAAACCTAATTCTAAGTGTCAATGTTCCATTAAGTACACTGAGGGAAACTGATCATAACAACAACAACTACTATAAAAAAGGTGAACAGAAACAAAACAGAAACATTACGAATGAATAATCAAATTACATTATTTCCATTTTGTTACATGTTTCTTCTTCTTCCTTTCCAATAGTGTTGTTGGTAGCAGTGGATGAGGGTTTGGAGGGGGGAGATAACCGTTTTTCGTTTAGACAGTTACTCCAGTGAATTAATTCTTAAACAATGAACATTAATGTCATAGGTTAATTAATTTCATTATTAAGATATCTTTTTTGTCTACCCTGAAATTTTCATTTATTTTGAAATATCACGTTAGTTACTTGACTGTTGCATATAATGGTAGCATTAACTGAATATTTTCTTCTAGTTTAAAGAAACTTTACAAGTATCCACCTGTTACCTTAAACAGATTTTAAACTAGCACCTTTAAGGTCACGGGAAAAAATGACATCATTTAAAGACTGAATTAAAGTTCATTAACAGATGTTAGGTTTTTGGAAGTAGTTGGTACAATACCTTACATAAACTTAGTTATGAGCTGATTGCCACTCGTTAGCATGACTCACTTAGGATCTTGAGGGAAGTGATGTTACCTGGTGGATTCGAACCTGAAATATCAACAAACAGTTTACAATTTTAATAATGGAATAATTTGTTCTTTTTATAATACTACGTAGAAAATGATTCCCAGAAACCTGAAATCATCGATTGATACTCTTATTTTATGAAAGAATTTAAATAGTCAATTATTTTGACTGTTATACATTACGTAGATGGTTTCAATGACCTATACATACATCCACATCTTGTCAAGAGATCCTATACTACTCTGAAACTGATATTTTTCTAATATTCTTAGTTTCTTAATATTTTTTTCAGATGAATTCATTCGATTAGAGAAAAATTATCTTTAAATATTCAAATTTTCTCAACCTATCAAATTACTCAACATTTTGAAAAGAAATAAAGACAATTCAGCGAAAAAATATTTCCATTTTCAACTGCATCATGTACTCACGCTGTACGATCATATTGGTTGTTAGCAAGAATGCATAAGTTTGTAATAAAATACAAGAATACCGTATCAAATAGAATAGTGATTGAAAATATTCTCAATAATTGGAATAAATTATGTAACAGATCAAAGTGAAAATAGATTACAGATGAAAGATAACTGTGACCTTGACGAATATTAAGAAATAATGAATAAATTGTTTGTTATCATTAAATATAGAAAGAAAGTTATGTAAATATGTAACTGGTAATGGAAAATATCATGTATTGATTGACGTTAGTGCTATTGGATGCCATCTCAGTGGTCTGGGGATTAAGTATTTGCGTGCAAGACCAAAGGTCCTCTGTTCGACTCCCAGGTGGGAGTCACGTATAACCATTACTGAGAAATCCCATACAAGGACAAAACAGTCATTCAAGTTTTCAGTGGTCGTCTAGCTAAAATCATTTTGTGATACAAAATATAATAATGAAAAATAGTATTGAAATGAAGATATTATTTGCAAAACAGAAATAATTGTTCATTTGGTAAATATGAAAAGCATATGATTAACTAAATAAGAACTTTCGACTAATAGTTTCACAATATTTGGGCGCTGAGTTAATGTGATTCATTAAAGAGGAATAATATATATTTGTAAAATCTCAGCGAAAGAATTTGAAGTAATCCCAACGTTTTGCCTGGCAATCTGGTATTTTCCTTGAAAAAACTTGGACCAGATTGCCAGGCGAAACGTTGGGATTACTTCAAATTCTTTCGCTGAGATTTTACAAATATATATTATTCCTCTTTAACGAATGATTAACTGTTATAATAATAACTAATTAGTGATTATGAAAAAAATGGTCATAGAGAAATAAGATCAGTGGATTATGGAATATAGAAAATAGAAATGAAGGAGATGAGGCATGATCACAATAAGCTGAAAGAGTGCATTACTTTGGCACGCAGTGTATAAGCTGGAATCAGTAGATTTCTTATTAATATTTGAGTTACTAATGAGTAGTAGTTATATTAACACGTGTTATGATTTATTTATCCATTGAATTTTTACGAATATATGGATTCACATACATACACATACACACACATACACACACACTCCTTTATGTATCACATTAAAACTACATTTAACATTAAATGATTTTAATCGTTTAAAGATCCCCGTCATATAAAATGATCGCCGTTATATCAAATGATTTACATTCTTACCATGAACGATATCAAGATTTGAATATGATTAAACAAGAGTTTAGTATAGTTTTATTACAGACTTTATTTATTTATATTTTGTATTATTTCCCTAAACAAGCTTAGACTTGATTACATGTTGAAAAGTTGGAATTATTTAAAGTTCAGTTACTGAGATCATCGTAAATACAAAAGAATTTTATATATAATTTCTCCCTTTCTTTAAATTTCAACAAATGTCCATACAAATTTACCAAGATTTGTATGAATATAGCCATTTATATAGATGAATTTTACTATGTCTATACAGATAAACTTATGTGATAAACATTTTAAACTATAATTGGACTTTATGGAACATTGAAAATTTAATTTGCATTAATATCGGCATAATTTATTGGGTTTTTTTAGAAGTACACCAGTACATATAACATAACGCTTGTATATTCATAAATAACAGTATTAAATGTAGTGAAATGAACATTCGATTACTACTATTAATATTATTATAGTAAAGGTGACCAATAATTTGAAATGGTTCAGTTAACATTCAAGTTGAATGAATAAATGTTACACGGTGTCTGTTGTTTTGTTTCTTTATTGCAACGAATGATTTTCATTCCTTTTTTTTTCTCCTCTTAATTTTTATGCAGATTATATGTATGAAATCAGTAATCGACACATGGAATGTTATTTTCAACGATGAATAATATAATAATAATAATAATAATAATAATAATAATCTATTAAATTATTATCAAGAGTCAAATTTCACTCACTGTCAGGATATATGTTTTAGTGATTTGAATAATGATTCATGGAAATGGGATCTATTAAATATGTCATCGAATTTATTCAAAGTAGAGACGATCGAACCAACAAGTCAATCATTATCAATGCATTCTTCAATGAGTGGTTCAACATTATATCCAGTTGAAAATTTTGAAAAAGTCAATACAAGTAAGTGTAATTTATCTTTAAATATATAGTACCTTAACATAGATTTTGATAATTATTCTATTCACTGAAATGTAATATTTTTGTTAAATTACATTGAAGTTACGAATCAGTCCAAGGTAGACAGCCATTAAAATGGTGAAAGCATTGAATGTTCTTGACCTTGCACCCGGGAATCGAACCTTCTGTCTCTCGCATGAACACTTAACCTCTCTGTTATAATTAATGATAGTGAGTAAATATAATTTTATTTTGTGGTCTACATCTTCACTTGTTTATACAAATTGGTGCATAATTCTTAGTCATAACATTTTAGATGGATATTTTGTACGTAGGTAAAAAGTAGTTCTGACTTCTTAATACATATTCAGCTCGTGAACGAAGCTATCAGTTTAGCTGTCTTTGTTATTATCACGGATTTGTGAGATTGATTAAACTGGCAAAACTCTCTTCGTCCTACAAGAAGTTGCATATTGATATCGACTGAATATAACTCTTACAGGTAGTGATCAACATGTACCATTTTAACATTTATTGCGTATAATGAAAAGATCAACTATTTATTCTTGATTAAATCTAGTCATTTATTGAAATGAAGAGTTTTCATTGAATGATTTAGAACTAATCATGCTTTATTAGACATTCCAGTGGTTTCCACACCATTTATTACTTGGGCCTGGATAAAAAAAACTGAAGAGGTGATTAGTTTAGTCTATAAATTCGTGATATAAAAAACAGGAACACAGGAATGGTACATTTTGGGCCATTATGATTCCGATTTTATTGTCCTGATGATTATACAACCAAGTGACTTGGGACGTTATCCAACTTAACTGAGAATAGAAGCCAGTGAGTATCCTACTGAAGTTTTCTACAACAGACTTTATAATCATCAGATGAGCTTTTTAGCTGAAAGAAGTCTTTCTTGGATGTGTTTTTTTCTTAATACCGAACGATAGCTTTTATCTACTATTATTTATTTTTCATGAATTAATTGTGATTCTGCCATCCTTATGAAATGAATCTTTAACCTTAACAAAGGCACAGATCACAATTATGACAGCCATGAAACACAAACAAAAAACTATTTAATGTCTTAGAAAGTTTACAAATAAGCTAATTATGTATTTTATTAAGTTCGACTATCTATTTTTTTTAAACATTAGTCTCATAATCCTCATCCATCATAACTCTCTATCTCACAGGCACATAAAAATATAAACATCTGTGGCTTTCCCAATTTATCATTATGTTAACTTGTCAATCATTCCAGTGGCATATTATGTCTCTGGTAATTTTTTATATTGGTCTATCTGCTTTGTGGTTAAGTTGATTAATTCGAGGTATTTTAGTGCGAACACGCACACAATACACAATTATTTATTTATACATAAATATGCTGTAAATGGTAAATGATTTAAACCATTAATTGTATTTTACGACACGTAAATATCATACATTAGATTTGGAAAAAAATTCATGACAGACTGTCATTATCAATGGAAGAAATAAAATTTAGATACGATTGAAGAGGTATTTCAACTTATGGGATCATAAAGCATTGAGTCTAAAGCGTACACACTGGATTATAGTCAAAACTTTTAAGTCTTTTGACGAGTACGAGACCATTGCGTTTGCAAGTATATCAAAATGTTATTACGAAATATTACAGAAAACTGTAGTGTGATCGTCATAGGTCTATATTCCAAAAATTCATTAGGTCACTAAATTCTATCTCACAAACTGATCAACTCTTATACTTTTCCCATTCATTTCCAAGTTCAACAAGTAGTGAATGGTATAACATTAACAAGGATACGATGTGTAGATGACAATACTACTTGAATTATTATTTTGTTTATGCTAAAAATGAAAGTTTTTTTAGAAAACGGAATGCTTAATGTTTTAAAAATGAGAGTTCTTTATTGTTACAGGTACTTAAGAGGTTTCCCCAATATATATGAGAAATCTTTAGGGAAAAAATGCAGTCATACATCTTCAGCTTAAAGAAGTCAGTATTTATTGCTTGTACTTCAACTTTTTGAACTTTACATTCCATAATTAAGACAAAGACAAGAATGTCACAGATCAGCTTACATTCGTTTTAACTTTCAATAAGTGTAAATTAATTTCTCTAATTACATCATCATCGTTAGTGAAATTCACATAGTTATTCAACCAACACTTATCATTTAGCTTTATAGCTGGTATGAAAATCATTTTATAGACTTATTATTGTTCTTTGTATATAGTATCAATCTTTGCACATTCTTTCTCCCTTCTTTTTTTTTTCTTCCACTACTTTATAGATATTCAGAGAACAATTAAAGAGAAAAACATTTTTAATGAATTATCAATACAAAAGAATCCTGAATATGTCAATCAGTCTAATAATAATAATAATAATAATAATAATAATAATAATAATAATAATAATAATAATAATAATAATAATCAACCAATTGATTTAACAATGAATCATCATCATCACCATCGTCATGAGAGTCAATTAAGTTATGAGCATACAACATCATTGTTTTATTCAAAAATGGAACATAATGCAAATGAACAATATATCAATAGAGTATATCCTGGTAAGAAGTGACCTTATTATTATTATTAATATTATAAAGAATGGTTGTGTAAAGGAAAACTGCAAAATAGTGAGCAATGAATAGGTAGTCTTTATTCACGATCGTACATTGGATCACATCCAGTACCTATGGGTCTGAAGTTGAAATGTGAATAATTGAATTTCAAATCATTTGTCTCAATGATAATGTATTTACTATACTGACCTAAAATTTCGAGGTTCGATTCCGATTTGAAGTTGCATCAACTGGTTGAACGTTGGAAATTATAAACTAACGGATAGGTATTTAGTCCTTGTTTGGAACCACTCAAAACCGCTTGATTCCAAATTACTAACTGATTATCATCCTGAGTTCTTTTTTCTTGAACCAGATAGTTTATGTTTAGTCTTTTCTACTAACGTTAATACTGTTGTTACTTCTACTACTCTGATATGTCTTAAAGTGATACACATACTTTGCTTATGATTGACTCCATAATAAAAATATGATAATTAATGAAATCTTCATAAGCCACCTAACAGTTGACCACATCAGTGTCTTGTTCCGTTACATTAGATTCGAATAAGAATTTTGGGGCATACATCTTCGAGTAAATGGCCATGGTGATATTATAATAAATAAAAATTTAAAACAAAGAGAATTCAGCGAAGAAAATTTTATTGTCGACGAAATCATTGACTCAAGCTGTAGGTTCATACTTACAGTTGTTCAAATCAATATATAAGTCTATGAAAGAACGTAAAAAAGACTGGATAATAAAGATGATCCGAGGTTTCAAATATCAAAATGACACTAAATTCTCAATGACACAATAGATTAGTTTAACTGTTTTAAAACCATATTTCTTTATTTATTAATATCATTATGATAATATTTTCAAACTCATTAGGTATCAATACATTTGATTACTTGGTAGTTTTTTGTGGCCATGAATCTGAATCTAAGTAGATTGTATCAATGATTGTTATTGAATGATTCCTGTTGAAATATATATATATGTTGCCAATCCTCGTATATAATCGTCAACTTGAATGGCGTGAGTGAATAATGGAACTAAGTGAAGAGAGTGAAGCAAAATGTTGCGTAATAGAAAAGTCGAGTGAACCAACTCAATTTAACCCAGAGTGAATATATATATAGTAGGACAGATATTTCTGATTAAGATAAGAAATGCACACACATACGCTTACATAAAAAACAGTCAAGGTTGATAAGCGAATAATTAACAAGATCAAAATATAACTTGAGAAGAATGGATAAATTGGTTTGTCCAGGAGCTAGAATAACCTATGTGGGCTAGACATAGGACCCATACACTACAGGTTTAAACGAAGTTGATTAACATAAAGATCATTTTCAGGAATAATTATCATTTGAATAATCAAACTGTAAGAAAGAGAACGATTTATTGAATCTGTTCATAAGTGTTTATTTGTAATTTTTCTAGTTTTATACCCTAAAATTAAGTGATAAACATCTTTTTTATCGTTTAAAGATCCCCGTCACATTAAAAAACTAGTATTTAAACGAAGAATATTCTTTTCGATAAATTCTCTTCAAGCTCTACAATTATATATCCAAATTAATAATCCGAAAAATGGCCAGGTTAAGGGCAACGTACATCGTTTAATACATGTGAACTTAGGACTATGATAAACAAAATACAATAAAATTGTTAATTTCACTGGTTGAAATCATGAGTCGTTTGAAGCTAGAACACTATGGAAAACCTGGAAACACTGGACGACCGTTTCGTCCTGGTATGGGACTCCTCAGCAGTGCGCATCCATGATCCTCCACCCCGCGGGATTCGAAACGGTCGTTCATTGCTTCTAGGTTTTCCATGGTGGTCTAGCTTCAATTGACTCATGATTTCAACCAGTGAAATTTCTAAAAAAACATCACCACAAAACTCATTCTGATAAAATTGTTGATGTTAATATGACTCATGTAGAATGTTAACTTGAATCTGCGTTTATGTTAAGTGAAATTTTAAGATCCATGATCAGAATAAATATGGGGCAAATAGGGTGAGAGAGAAGTAATAGTGCAATTACAATTCGATCAAATAAGTAAGACGTAATACGGAGGGATGAATGCGAAGTGCATGAATCATGTATAGGAGAGATTAATGATGGTTAACCAATAATACGAATAATAATAATACAAAGATTTATGAATAAAGATAACAGAGACAATTACAATTGTCTGCAAAAGGTCGTAGTAAAATTGGGTCATTTAGTAGTTAAGATTACGATTGATTGATTGGCCTCGATGTTGGCCAGGGGAGGAGGACTGGTTGAATATATTTCTTCTGTATGCATAGCTCTGGTTTTTTCATCCGGTTGACTACTGCTTCAGCCGTTTGAAGAACTTTAAGTCTAACCAGTTTCGGCAAAAAATTACTGACCTTATAAATAATTGAAAAAGATTGGTTTATACTGGTACTATGACCGGTTTGTACTAAATGGGTCAATATTGAGCTGTTCACTCTCTTTATCAAACCTTTGTTTTTGCAATCTTTACTCAATATATTTATCACATAATTAATCTTAGCAAACACTTGTAAAGATAAAATTAGAAAATTCCCATTTAAAGATCTTAAATACGATGGCCATTGAATCATTTCAAAAATATATTATACCATATCATTATTCTTTCAATTTCTAATTGTATGCCTACTGAATTCATCTTCTGGAAATATCTAAAAATGAAATGAATTATATTAGGCTTTTTTATTCCCCACCCACCCACACACACATACACACAAATTTCACCATCAGTATGCATTCAATATACACTCGTGATAATTTCGGTTCAGTTTTATCAATTAAGTGTTTTAAACACACACACACACACGCATGTTATTTAATTGTTAAGATTTTATGTATCTAATCCTTTAAAAAAAAGTTACGTATGTTTTGGTAATATTATGATTAAACTCAATTCCATTTGATACACTTATCAAAACATAACACTCATGTGATAAAAATTATGTGACCTTGAACAACTATGAGTCATTGTTTAATGTTTATAACACAATTAACATACATTTTATACATTAAACATTTGAATAGTTGATCTAATACGAATTGAGTAGCACATAGAACAGTATGTTATACAATACGTGAATTAGAGCTTGTGAAATATATTTTTTTTAAGGATCAGAATGGAGATTGTGATGATTGTAGTAATTTTAATGATTAAATTTATGACTCAATACAAGCTAGACCCCCATTGAAAACGTGGAAGCACTAAATGGTTGCGCAACCATTTATGAATCGATGGAAGTTAGAAATCAACACAGTTGAATGCTGACTCAGTGGTTTAGAAGTTAAGCGTTCACGCGCGAAATAGAACGACTTGAGTTCGAATCCTGCGTACGGGGTCGTGGAAGCGCACTGTTGATGAATCTCATACTAGAACGAAATGGTGGTATAGTATTTCCAGGTTACCTATGGTGGTCTAGCTTATATCGACTCATGAATTCAACTATTAAAATATATTTTTTGTTTGTCACATTTGTTTATGTGTACAAATCTATCCATCTGTTAAGTTTACCTTCTTTTAATTTCACAAAAAACGAATGTCATTAAGAACTAAACAGGAATTTGCACAAATTTGAAATCTTTTTATTTTATACATAACTGTATTTATTCATATAGACAATTTAATGATATTCTTTATTATTACTAATTTAACTATGGTAATTGTTTAAATTATCTTCTACCTGCATGAATTGTAAAATAATAATTTCATATTATGTAATGAATTTATAAAATACTGATAAGTGATTGATAATTTGTTAATGAAACAAATCCATCAACTCAAGTTGAATGAACATAAGACGACGGAAAACTTGATCACCTAACGTCAGACACCATTAGTGAATCAAAACAGTTATTTATATCAGAAAGTAATCAACAAGTAAAATAAATTATTAACATTATATGGTCATAATCAAAAAGTATCTAGGTTTGATTACTGGTTGCAGGGTCTTAGATACGCACTGTCGAGAAGTCCCATACTAGGACGAAACGGCAATCTGGTACTTTCAGGTCTTCAATGATTAACTTAGATTGGTTTATGATTTCGACAAAATTCAGCAATCTCTACAACCGTATGCCGATAGCTATATTTTCAAAAAGGGAAACGTAAATAGGTTAACAGAATATTATTTAAAAAAAATACTTTTTTTATATCATATATTGATATCAGATAGACAAGTCATTGGAAAACAGAAAGAACTACAGTTATTTTTACGACTGATTGATCACTGGGTAATGACTAATATTATGTGTGTCAGTTCCTTCTTAGTAATCAGTGAGTGATCAATAAATTATAAATATATCTCAGCTCTTCAGGAAGTCAGCCACGGCCTCGATAGCTCGATGATGACATGTGATCGAGTCTGCCAAAGAGCATCAGTTCCCTCAAGACCACAGGTTCACCTTACTGACGCGTGCAAAATAGCACGAAACCTTGGTCCAGGGTTTCCTATCGACTACTTCTAATCACGAAGTTACAAATTATTTCTGCACCATTTGTGGTTATCTAGATTTGCACAATACTTATTCTGTTTTAAAAGTAATCAGTAGCTTAAAAAGAAATCATGAAGATTGTAAATGAGATACCAAATTAATGTTAAATAATATCAAAAATTAGTCGAAATTCAAAATGTGAAAGATCATATTTCTAATCATATTTGTTAAAAGACCTAAGTATTCGATTATTGGATTTTATTAGTGCTCATTGCTAAAGAATTTCAAACTATGATTAAACTGTTATTTACCATTCACTGGTTTATGCCGGTTATATATATACTCTAAGTTCATGATGGAAACCATCCTCATACTTAACAAAATCTTCAAAATTTATTATATATATATATATATATATATATAGTGTGTATGTATCTGAGAGAGGTTTAAATAGTAACATCACCCTGTTTTAGTTCATAGCATAAAGAGTTATATTCAAATTTATTTAGACTAATTGTT